TCCAGGCTGCGAGCTGTCAGTGCAGAGCCTGATGCAGGGGTTGAAGTCATGAACCGTGAGATCATGACCAGAGCCGAAGTCGGACGCTTAATCGACGCAGCCTCCCAGGAGTGCCTTTTTGGTCCCCTTTGAAATCGGTTTATCGCACCGTCAGAGCACGTTATGCTGTGGACGATGCAGAGGCCCCTTTGGCTCATGGACAGCTTTGCGGGAAGGCTTCAGGGTGGACACTTGGCAGGTCCCCCGCCGCTCTGAGCCTTTCTCCTCCGCGGCCAGCCAGCGAGAGAATGACTGCCGTGTGTCCCCAGTCTGCCCTGAGGGGTGCGTCCCCCTGTCTCCCCAGGCTCCACACAAGCCACAGCCAGCTTTGTGCACGTCTATGTGCTCGTGGTCCTGGGGACCTTCGTCTGTGCCCTGATTCTCAGCTGCCTTGTGAAAAGGTAACGCCACTGGTGGGTTGGATAGAGCTCGCAGAGCCGGTGGTGTGCCCTCAGCAGGGGGCGGTGTAGACGCGGGCCAACGGGGGCCTCGTCGGGACCCCCGACGGGCAGCCCCAGAGCCCCCCAGGGGCCCTACTGAGCCCACCCGTGCGCCCCCCCCTTCAGCTGGATGGGCGCTGGGGGCCCCCGACCTCAGCTTCTCTTTCTGCCAAAGCTTCCTGTCCCCGTGTGAGTCTCACCGAGGCCTCGGGGCCCAGCCGGCGACTTTCAGTCCTCCCGCCTTTGCATATGGGGAACGGGGGCTCCTGTGTGGGCAGCAGACGTGTGCCCTCAACTCCAACAGGGTCTCAGGGCCCCTCACACGCGCCTCAGAATGAAAGGCACACGCAGAAAAGTTAATTCTCACCTACAGGCCAGTTCAGGGCACGCTTTGCGAACCTGAGGCGTCTTCGCAGAGGGTGGCCCTCCTGCACGATGGGGGGACCCTCTGGGTGGCCTCCTGTGCCCAGCCCTCGATGGCCCCCCGCGTCCTGGCTGGGCATCCAGTGGCCGTTCTCCTTAGGACTGAGGCGCGTGGCCAACGGCACAGGACAAGGGGGGGCTTTCCTGGCCGGCTGAATGCGGGGGCCGCATGGCACCCCCGTTGCCCAGGGACCCTGCACCTGGGAGCAGATGGGAACAGGGGCCACAGCCACCGGAACAGTGACAGAGCGCGTGCTTTACCCAGGGCACTTATCTTCGTGAAAAGCTGCTTGCGTTTCCTGTGGAAACAGGAAAAAATGACCACAAGCCAGATGTCTTGAAACAACAGAAATGAATCATCTCCCAGCATTGGAGACGACAGTCTGAGATCCAGGCAGGGCAGGACCACTGAGATCCAGGTAGGGCA